AGATTTCAGACATTTTTTCCTTTTTTTTTCAAAAAAACAGGGGCTCCGCCAGTCCTCCCTTTCTCCACTCATCTTCTTCTTCTTTCTCTTTCTCATCTCCGCCAGACCTTCTTCTTTCTCTTTTCCAGATTTAGTCGAATCAGTCCTGAGTTCTCTCTTCTCAGCTCAGACATTTTTTCATTTTTTTTCGAAAAAACAGGGACTCCGCCCCTATACTCCTCAGTCCTCCCTTTCTCCACTCATCATCATCATCATCTTTTTTTTGCTTTTTTTTTTGGAAAAGCAGGGCCTCCGCCCTATACTCCTCTCCTCCCTTCACTGATTCAGTCATTGTTCTCACTTCTCACTTCAGTTTTTAACAGCTGAACCTATCATTAATATATATGAATATGATTATATGGCTGAAATCTATAGATTTTATATTTATAGATTCCATCGCCTAGGCGCCTGGGCGCCCCATGGTCGCCTGCCTCGCCTAGTCGCCTTGACAACTATGTCACCAATTCAACATTTTGATTTCTCAAACATGTTTTACTTAAAGAAAGCCAAAAGGGCTATGCAATGGTGCAAAACGTAGCTGATCTGACAGCCTGCCTCATGTTTGCCACTAACTTACATCGCTCAGAAAAAAAAAGTTCATGGTGAAAGGCTTACACCATTCAACATGGTGAAGACAGGTACATATGACCAGTTCATACCCAGGGAGATTAGGCTGATTACAAGGAAGAAACAAATCAAAACTAGAAGGACCTCATCTTGCCTAATCATTGAATTTAATGTTTGGTCAAACAAATTTCTTTCTTTGATCATTCGATTACCTTGTCAAAATATTATTCTTGAGTACATAGCACATTGAAAAGATAAAATAAACGATTTAATGATAAAGTGAATGAGATGTAAAATGTAATTATAGAGTTAGAAGGTTCCCACTTCAAACCATCCTCTACTACATGTGCTAAATAAATTCTTTGTCAGGAGAAAAGGCAGAAACTTACCTTGGATTATAATAATCCTTTCCAGGCCATATTAAAGGTGGGTAATCACCCAGTTTGTGTTCATATGTGTCATAGCGGCCAAAGCATAAATCTAGTCCTCCTACGAAGCAAATCCGGTTATCAATGATAACAAGTTTTTCATGATGGGACCTATATATAACCAGTTATATTCATCAGTATCTGCAACATCCCAAATTAAAAGTGGTAACAATTAACCAGAAAAATGATGGAACTCCTAATTCCAGTACTGATGACAATTTTAAGTGAAGTTTACAGATAAAACTGCATACCAAAGATAAACACCACTTGAAAAATGATCCGGATAGCGTAGTACTCTCACATTCTCATGAATGTTAAGAAGCTTTCTCTTGCTATAAACACTATTAATTTTCAAAGCAAGAGAAACTTCTTTGTAGAGAAGGATATAAATCTGCAAAAATTAAATTAAAATCAATTTACATCCAAATTCATTCCACAAATAAATTTCATGAATAAAATATGAACACCCTAACAATGACACTTTGGAGTCATTAAAATTCTAAAAACATGGAATGTCCAAAGTTATTTATTCATGTAGTCATTGCGAAACTTTATAAAATGTTAATATCCTTGAAACATGTTTTCTAGAAGAACAAGAAGGGTAATATGACATGGACACACATAAATGAGAGAGAGAGAGAGACAGAGAGCTGTAGAACTGAGTAAATGGTATTTCATAATCAAGACTTTTTTGAAAGGTATTTCATAATCAAGATGATGGTGGTGAATTAATAGATTCTGTGGAGCTGGTTTCTTTAAAAGACTATTAGTGTGCGTATCAGGAAAGACTGAAATACAGGGCAAATTATGATGGTCAATTGAGGTTTACGGCAAGGAAAAGTTAGGGATGATTGGGGAAACAGGATATAAGGTGAGAGGCCAAGGTTTAAGGGCTTAATACAGATTTGCAACAGGAAGAATAAAATGCTGTATTTCAACCGTGTAATGGAAATTAGGAAGAGAAATATATACTGACCTGAAGAGAGAGTAAGAGAAAGCAAAAATAGAAGAATGCAGAGCTCTATGTAGGACTGTCAATGGACTCAATATTTGTCCAACCTGACCTGGTCCAATATGAGTCCATTACAGATGGACCAGGTCCAAGCCAATCCAATGAATACTTTGGACCATTCTTGACTGGTCCAATTCAATGTCTGGACCATCCAATCTGTTCAAATTGGTTTTAATTTAGATTGGGTCCAGCACAAACCTGGTCCATTGACACCTGTACTCTAATCTTTTGTCAATGGACCAGATATTGTTCAATCCAACCCAATCCAAATATCCAATATAAATCCATTACAGATGGACCAGGTCCAATCCAATCTATTAATACAGTGGGCCAATAAGTATGGACTGGTCTAATTCAATGTCCTATTGCTCTGTCCAACCCATTCAAATTGATTTTGATTTGGAGAGGGTCCAACCCAAACCCAGTCCATTGACACCTACTATGGCAGCAAAGTAGAGAAACAGTAGATTAAGGCAAACGTGATTTGACAGAGTTATGTGTAAGACATGGGCAGGATAATATACAAGCTCTATGGGAGAAACTCCTTCATGAAAGAAGTACTATATGCTACTCAGCTTCTGAGTTTGTTATAATTTATAAAACCTTCTGTTGTCATTCTGGAGTCCCTTTCTTAGAGAGAATTTTGTAGTAAGAGAAAAACTATGAGGTTTTTAGAATATGTAAGTTGAGTCAAATACTAAAATCTAGTTATTTCTGGTTTCTAAGAAAGAAAAATTATTAGACAAAACAACTATAGACTGATTATCCAGCACCTAATATAGTTAAGAACTCATGTATAGACTGATTATCCCCCCGAAACTCATTCTCAGACACCATTTGCACATCTTGTTATGAGCTGTGCTCTTTTGAAATCCATCCATTATATTTCAAATGCATCAACTCTTTTGATGAGTTCTGGTCTTTGTTTTTTTTTTTTTTTTTTTTTTGTCTCTTCAAGCTTTTAAGTGCAGTCAAGGAAATAGAAGCACAAATCTACTTATAACTGTCTTCATCAACCTTTTTTCGTCAGCTATCCCTAAAAAATCCAGCCTTCATTTGTAGGATTTCTAGATCACTTTAGCATTACAACAAAAACCTTGTTACCATCTTTTTCAAAACAAAAAAAAAAAAAAACAACAGAAACCTTGTTAGTGCAAATGCAACATGATTTATTAACATAACAGGCTAAACCAAAAATAATAGCACATGTATCTTGGGGTGCTTTACACTTGTTGTAAATACATTATTTTTACATTCACGAGTAATAAAGGTCAACCGTTACTGATCAAAAAACAAAAAAAAACAACAATATAGATACAGGTTTATTAACACACTATAAAAAAGAAAAGAAAAAGAAATTGTATCAAAAGGGAAATAGGCACCTGGACCCCTTGCTTTGCTTTTGCTTCTAATAGAGCATCAAGTCTAGATGACCCATGAGCATGGAAAGGACGTCGTAGATACAGTTCTGGGCACAGCCACCAGTCAGTAATGAATATCTGCATAAAACTTACAAAAATTTCAGCATTCATTAAATTAAATGACAAGAAGATCAATGTGGTGGAAATGCTTCAACTATACTATAGCAGTACAAAAACAAACCTCTGATTTTGCTTCCTCAATTGATGAAGCAATAGCTCCAAATGCAGCTTGGCCATCTATAAACCATTGAGCCTGACTACCATCTTCAGTCAAACCCCTTGGAGGAGCAAAAGAACCAAACCGATGAGGATAGCACCAGCCCTCAGGAGGCCTTAATCCAGCATCATTAATTGCTGCAACCCAGTCTCTAACTTTAGCATTACTCCTAGTTCTTAATTTTATGCTCCTGTTTCCACATGACACCTGAAATTTTCAAATATTGATTAGACAACTTCTTACAAGCATGACTGTCATCATACAAAGAACATTGCAGCTATTAAATTGCTTACTTGAAAGAGAGAAAAAGAGAGGTATAAGATAATGTATTGTGTTGCATTAAACAGAAAGAAATCATGTACAACTGGGGGCTGTAAATTTGGAATATACAAAAACTACCAAGAATACAATAGAAGACCAATCCTTGACTGTTTACAAAAAGACATCCATACACAAAATAGAGTTATAGCCCATCCTTAAGTTGGTCCCAGCTATCTGGGGTATTGGGAGGAGTGAACTGGATACAGACCTAACATTTGACATTTTTTGCACAAAGTGGCTACGCTCAGAACCAGCACCTTCTGCTTTCACAGTATTAGAAGTAGGAATTAGCAGCTTACCTTAAATGCATAACGTAAAGGATTACGTTCCTTCAACTCTTTTGCTAAAGATACCCGGCCTTCTCCATTACCATCTGATGCTGGCAGTACATCAAATACAATAATGTCTAAAGGTTTGGTATCAAAAGGGTCTTCCAGCAAAGCCAAGAACCCAGGTTTCAGTACAGCCCACACCTAGATAAAACCAAATACCATGTAAAAATTGAGGTTATAATGAATATATTATATATAAAGATTTAAGCTATGTTATTCTAGCAAGAATTCATATTACGGATGTTTGCACAGTATGCAGCAATAGATTTAATGCTGAAGAATAACTAACATTTTCCAACAAAGAACAATTAACTGTCAAAAAACATGTTTATGGCATGCTTCCTGGAAAGGGCAAAGATTGTAGCAAACCTGGATAGTAAAGCATAAAGAGTTTGCACTTTTAACAAATTAACTAGAAAGAAAATTTATAATAGCAATAAAAGGATGTTAAGAAACTATACAAGTTTCCTAGCTCCCTGAGGTGATTTATTCATTTACAATATTTTCTACCTTCACTAGAAAAAACTCCAATGAGAATTTTTTTATTGAAACTGAAACAAGAAAGAACAATAAGGGAAAGAGAAGATTTTATCAGGGAAAATACATGGTAGACATGTAAGAGGTAGATGAAGTAACACAGAGCAGATCATCTATAAGAGGAGTGTTAGAGTACACAAAACAGGGGTATTTTGGTCATTTGGGTATATCTATTTGAGAGTGAAAGGTCTGTTTTATTTAAGTTTAAGTTATGTATCCCATCACTTATGAGTGACGATATGGTCTTTCTTGTAACTATGTTATTGGAGATAAATACAAGTGGGTCGACTAGAGAGAGGACTGATTTTCCTCTACTGTAACCTAGGACTAAATAAGTTTTTCACTTGGTATCAGAGCGCATGTAACAAGTTCAGATCTGTTCGTCTTGCTCTTTTATTCTGGTTTACCCAGTTTTTTTATCGCCCTCCTCTCTAGGGTTTTGCAGATTTCTCAAGAACCACTGGGAGATTAAGGGAAAGGTTGAAAAGGAGTGGTCGTTTTTCTCTGTAGGACCTTCATGCCTCCGGTTTGTGGTGTAGTGGCTGTTTGTGGTGATTGGTAGGAAGCTCTCTATTCGATGGTATGAAGAGAGCAGGTTCGGGTGAACAGTGTTCAGCTGAGTACAAGTTGGTTCTGCAGAGTGCAGTGTAAGTGTTTGGTTTAATGGCCAAGTGATTTCAGCCCTTGTATTTGGTGTGTGAATGGTTCTGCAGTGTGCAGTATAGGTGTTTAATTTAATGACTGAGTGATTTCAGCTCTTGTATTTGGTTCTGCAGAGTGCAATGTAAGTGTTTGATTTAATGACTGAGGGATTTCAGCTTTTGTATTTGATGTGTAATGTGTATTTGAAGAAGTTGGTGGTGCTGAAAGTGAGATAAGTTTTGTGGAAGTGCATGAGGTTGTGCTGAATATTCGAAGGTGAATACTCTACACATAGCAGTGATTTCTTTGTGAGGTAAGGTGAATTAGTTAAGATGGCATCGATTGGAGATGGGAATGATAATAAAACAGGATGTTCAGATTCAGCAACAACAGCATGAGCAACTTGATGTGACAAGGTTTCTGGTGGGTTTGAAGGCTGAATATGAGCCTGTCCGAGCACAAATACTGGGGGGATCTGCTCTTCCCTCACTTGAAGAAGTTTTTGCCCGTCTTAGGAGGACATCTATTGAGTCTATAGAGCATTCTTCTCTCTCAGACAGATCTGGTTTTGTGGTGACTAGAGGGGAGGCCGTGGAAATAGAGGTGGTGGTGGTGGTCATGAACTTCCAGGTAACCGTGGTGGTCCCATGTTTAACCGTGCTGGTGGCCGGAGTGGAGGTCGGGACTCAGGGGGAGGTCGTGGTAAAGGAAGAAGTAATGCCCTAGGAAGTGTATATACTATGGATTAGAGGGGCACACGGTTAATTTCTGCTATGATTTACATGGTCCACCCAACACTTGGGCTAACCATGATGTGACTAAGGGTAGTGGTACAGCTACTGAAAGTCAGCAAACTGACCCGATCCCCTCCACATCTACTGGTGTTTCTGGGAAAGAGATGGTGAGTGTACCCCATGCAGTATATGAGCAGTTCCTTCAGCCATTTTCTCAACAGAACACAACTACCCTTGCCCATTCAGGTATGGCTTGCTTGGTTTCCAAGCCTCCACACTGGATCATTAACTCCGGAGCCTCAGACCATATGTCTGGGACTCCTAATGTATTTTCTTCTCTTTCTCGGTCCTCCACATCTCAAACAATTACTCTTGCTAATGGTTCTACATCTCCCATCTGTGGTGTTGGTGATGTTGATCTCTCCTCCTTGTCTTTATCATCTGTTTTATATGTCCCCAAGTTCCCCTTTAACCTTATGTCTATTAGTAGATTAACCAAGTCACTTAATTGTTTCATAACCTTTTATCCCTCTTCTTGTGTGTTTCAGGAT